GTGGGGTTCTTGGTTAAGTTGTCGTTTTGAGATCATGAATTGTTGTGTGTGATCTTGATTAGTTCCCCGTCATATTTTGCTAATGCATTCTTTGGTAACGCTGCTATATTTTTTAAAATTAGAAGCAAGAACAATTAGTGAAAGTTTAAACATTCCTAATGCTAGCATATACTAATTACTTGAAGCCCCTTTTCTTTTCTTCATGTAGTTGTTGTTGATGGTGAAAGCCGTTGTTTTAGTAGATGACTCGGGCTAGGATTTCATTACAAGATGGATGGGGACAAGACAATTTGTTTTCAATGCAACATCAGATAATAGTACGAAAATAGCTTACCATGCATTCTCACACGACATTGTTTATGTTGGTGATAACATATTCTTAAAACAACAGCTACTTCGATGACTATGTTCTGTGCTAATATGGATGATTGCTAAGTGGGTTATTAATGTTTACTTCCTGATCCGTTGGACATTTAATAACTCACTTTTGTGCATATACCTTATAACTATGCCACATGCTAGCTCATTTTGTTATGGGTTGTTAATTGCAAGGACCAACATAGGCGAAAAGATAATTGTGACCAGATCACATACAGATTTCTCATATTGGGAATCGTGTTTTAATCAATAAACCATGAGATTGCCAGAGAATCTTGAAGATGGCATGTTTTTAATCAACTACTAATAATGTATTGTATGTTGGCTAATATGGCACCATTATAATTCTTCTCAGGTTTGTTGTTTGGATGGTTTTACTGTTTTCTTTACTTTTATGTCTTTCCCATCGGTCTCTTTGAATGCTTGATTTACAAATCTAATTTATGGATGTCACTTATTCCAAATTAATGGGGACCAACAAATTTCAAATTCGATAGCAAAACTTTCCATCCTTGACCTTTGATTTGATTAGAGTTTTAGCACCTACTTCCAAATTTAGGAGTTAGACAAATCTCGCATGTGTTGAATTTAGATACCAAATACATAACTAAAATATATGGTCCAAACGATGTTCACATTTGTTATTGAATATCAAATTGGTTTTCTTTCTTTATGAAGTCATGCATCTTTTTTCATAAAACCCATTTTCACGACAAACGATTGTATATTTGAATCAACAAGTGTTTTATTTAATAAAATTTCAAATAAATACTTCAAATATTTGAGATTTTGGTCAATATAATAGCTTGGACTATCCTTTTACGTCATTGTCAACTTTTAAAATCACAAATATTTTTCGTGAATCATATAAAATTAAAAATCCAAATCAAGTAAATCATAAATATTGATAAAATAAATTATACAAAATAGAATGAAATTGATCCGACCAACGGGTCGGGTAAAAGCTAGTAAGGAATAGTATAATTCGATTACATTTCAAACAATACTTATCTATTACATCGCTGGCCAGAGAAATCTTGTGAAAGATGTGTGCGTATAAGAGAGTTACGAGAATGAATAAGACCGGAATGTGCTTTAACTTTCAAGCTCACAAGACCAATTTCTGGTGGACTACCGCGGATGCACGAAGACTAGGGAAGACGAAAGCGGATGGACAATCCGTCAAAAAATAACCTTTTTCACCGGACGTAGGTCTGGTCGTCGCCATATGACCATTGAGCGATGACGGTTTGGTTGATCATTAAGGAAAATGACCGACCAGATGACACGCTTATCTTGTAGAAACAAAACTCCATATTACCAAGCAAAAGAATTGATCAAATGCACCATGGAGAGGTCGAACGACTAGGGCTAATGATGTCTTCATACCTCAAGCTAATGTCAGGGAGAGTGCTCTAAAAATAATGAAACCCGCGATTACACCTGAGAGCTTTACCAGACAGCCGGGATCATCGACATGTTGATCTACAAGTATTGCACGAACAACTACTTTTGATTTTGTGACATCTTTTCTTCTTCACCAAGTTTCAAAAACTAGATTTAACTAGAGTATTTACAATTTAAAAAAAAACTATTGCGTGCTAGAAAAAATTGCATAGGCATGAACTGGTCTGAATTATTTAGTATTTGGTCTGGTGATTGGTCTATACTCCGTCTACTTGTTCAGAACCATAAATTGTATGTATAGTCATGTCTGAAACTGGACTCCACCGGTTGTCATACTTACCAAATTTCATGGCTGTGTTTAAGCCGTACCAACTGGAAGAAGGTCTTGCATGAGAATTAAGCAGGCTGGCATACATTAAGTCCCAGGTCAATTAAAATTATTTAATGATTGTGGATAACTCTTCGAATGATCGAGTTCTCCTTTGTTACAAAAAGAAAAGGGTGGTTACTGAGGGTCAAGTATATAAGTTGTCATCGGTATTTTTAGTGACCGATCGCCGCCTTTCGTGATCAATGAAGTAGGACTATCACAAATTTACAAACCAATAAAATAGGACACCACCCTAGCTATCATCATTTTGGTCGGGTAGGGATTCTTATCTACGTTGGCAGCTATAGTGACTAAATTTGCCACCAAAACGAAATGGTGAAGAAAACTATAAATAGCCAAATTACTTGTGTCTGATCATCGATATCTTACTCAAGCCTGGACCAATTTAATACGATGCAATAAATATGCACAGGGAATATTTATCTATTACATTGCTGACCGGTGCATGCCATCTTGTGATAGATGTGTGCGTATAAGAGAGTTATGGGAATGAAATAGACTGGAATGGGATTTAATTTTTAAGTTCACAGGACCAATTTCTGGTGGACAGTAAACATATAGGACACGAAACGTCTTAAATGAATTTTATGGTAGGCCACTTCCGCAGTTCGATATCTATCCTATAACTTAAGGGTATTTCACATTGCATTCAGATAAAGGTTGTTATAAACGCGCTGCTACGGATCGGGAAATCGCCGGAATCGACAAAGCAAGAATATGAAAGCGAGAATCGAAAACACGACACCCGATTTACGTGGTTCACTAACACGATGTGTGTTAGCTACGTCCACGGGCGAGAGAGAGCCGATTTCACTATATCAAGGAGATTACAGATTACAGAGGAGTATGAGAAGTATTTATAGTACTTCTCCATGTGGGTCTAAACCTAATCCAATCCAGCGAGACCCCCGATTACCAGTCGTAGCGGCTGATAGTCCGATTCAAGTCATATCAACAAATCTCCACCTTGACTTGAATCCTCTTCCTCTGAAATCTCTGATGTACTCTGCTCCTTCTCTCTCTCCCGCCATCAATGCCCCGTAGGGCGGAGTCACCCACTCAAGACATTCAGCAAGTCCAAGCAGTGTTGGAACTTGCCATGTGGAACCGGCTTCGTGAACATATCAGCAGGATTATCCGCGGTGCCAACCTTCTTCACCGTAATCCTCTTCTCTGTCCTCAAGAAATGATACCTCACATCGATGTGCTTAGTCCTCTCATGGTGGACTTGATCCTTGGCCAAGCATATTGCACTCAAACTGTCGCAATACACCACTGCCTGATCATGATGTAGACCAAGATCACCAACCAGTCCCTTCAACCATATTCCCTCCTTAGCAGCTTCTGTCAACGCCATATACTCTGCCTCAGTAGGCATGGCAACGGGTGGGTATGGGGCCGGATAGTAGCTACCCAATCCCCGCCCGCAGCCACAAACGGGTTTTACCCGTCCCCGTCCTAAATGGGATTTGGATACTAAATTGCTATCCATCCCCGTATCCATGCGGGTTTGGATATTCCCCGGTTTGACGGGTTTTACCCGCTTCACTTAAATAACAATTCAAACAGCAAAAATTGTAAGCTAGAATCAAATGTAATTGAAAGGAAACATACTGAATTTCATTGAAACTAATATGTTGGCATTGTTCAAACTCAAACTACTAACCAGCAAACTAACAAACTGACATTGTTCAAACTTAATGGCAAAATCCGTGATCATCATCAAGAACACAGCCTTAAGAAAGCACAAAATAGAAAACAGCAGCAACATTACATTAAAAACCAGCAGCAAAATCCCAGCAACCCAGCAGCAGTATCACAAAATAGAAAACAGCAACACAGCAGTACCTATCCAACTCAGTTTGGTATGCAACTGTTTTGGCTTTTTTTCTTTGGCTCACATACAATTCAAAATCCAAGTCAATTCCAGATTGAGAAGCTTCCAGGTTAACAGTTCCAACACTAGGAGAATCCATCTCCTTCCTTGTTTTGTACTCATGAAGCAAGTCAACCAAGATTCTCTTAATCTTGTCACAATCCAATGAGCATTCAACATCACAACTACCAAACTTAGCAGCATAATAAGTAATGATCTCTAGCTTGTACCTTGGATCAAGTACAATTGCAACAGCCAACAATTCATGAATATCTTCCCAATACTTCTTAAATTTCAACCACATTGAAGCAGCCATTTGTTGGATGACAAAATCAGGATCAAGAAGCCATTCACTCAGTTTCAACTTCAAGTCACAAACTCGAGGGAAGAACAGATTGGCAGTAGGATATTGTGTTCCAGAAAACAATTCAGAAATCACACTAAAGATTTCCAGCTTTGAACACACAATAGTTGCAAATTGCCAATCAACAGGAGTAGGCAAGAAAGTATACTGAGAATCCCTTTGTTTAAGACGAGAGAAGACATCTTTATAAGGCAAAGCTGTAGCAAGCATGTGAAATGTTGAATTCCATCTAGTTGGACAGTCAAGCACCAACTGTTTGTCAAAACCGACCCTTAATTGCTTAGCAGTTTCATCAAAGAACTCTTCTCTTTGGTGTTGCAGACCAATACACAACAGATTCTCTAATCCTTTCTATCCCATCTTTCAAAATTGATAAACCATCTTTGACGATTAAGTTCAAGATGTGAGCAGAGCACCTCATATGCAACATTGAACCATCCAACATCATGTAATTAAGCATAAGTTTTTGCTTAATTTTTTCAATCATCGAGTCATTGGTACTGCAATTATCAAGAGTAATAGTCGATACCTTTGAATCGACATTCCAATCCATCATACACTCGATCATGATTGTGGCTAACCTCTCACTTGTATGTGGTGCAGGGACATACATAAACCTACAACAAGGCAGCAATATTATATTAGAGCTATATCACAATACAGTGTCCAGATTGAAGAACTTATATACAAAACAAACTACAAAAATACCTTAACATATGGCTTCTTAACTTCCAAGAATTGTCAATGTAGTGTGCAGTTACAGCCATATAACCCTTCTTTTGGTTTGTGGCAGTCCACATATCAGTAGTGAGTGCCACTCTTCCCTTATTCTCATCAATAACCTTCTGAATCCTACTACTGATAAAGCTTCAAAATATCTTTCTTAATGCTATTGCGAGATGGAACCGTAAAGAGAGGTTGTAGAGAACAAATAAACCTCTTGAAATACAAGTGATCCACCATTGAGAGTGGATACTCGTGCATCAAGATAGCAGCAGCAAGTTCCCTCCTACAGACATCAGCATTATAGGCACTAACTACCAGGTCCTTCCATCCAATTGTAGCATAGTTAGCACCAAGAACTTTCTGAGTTCGATCTCCAATTCTTTTTTGCAAACAAGTTCGCATATGACTCTTCAAATGCGAAGTACCATCTTTGGATTCTCCACATAATAGTTTTCGACAATGTTTGCATTTAGCCTTAATCTCATCTTTTACTTTGATCCTAGTGAAGTGATTCCACACTACAGATTTTAACCTGCTGCAATCAATTACCTCATCACCATTACCAGCTGGGTCATTCATGACAACATCCTGAGTTGCATTGTGAGCAACTTGAGGTGCAGGAGCTCCACCAGCAGCAACCTGAGGCGCCGGATCAACTAGATGTGCATTAACAGACTGATGGGCAACACCATTTGGTTGAACAGCAGCATTTGCAGAAGCTCCAGGGGCATTTTGATTGCTTTCCATGGTTCCTAATACATATTTGGACAACACATAAGAAAAAAATTAGTCATATTACACAGAAAACTAGCAAGCTAAGTTGGGAAAAACAAAATATAGAAAACTCACAAGTCTTGAAGTTTGAAGAAGCCTGCTCTCAAGCTCAAGGGAACTGCAGTCTGTCTGCGGATGAAGAAAGCTCTAGGAATGTATGAACGAAATTGTGAAGGTAGCGTGCTCTCCAGTTTCGTTGAAGGAAAAATTTATAGGCTAACTTAGGGTTAAGTGGCGTGAGGCTAGGCAAGGACAGAATCATCAACTTTGATTCTCCCAAAGCCATCATAAAGGGGAAAATCGAAGATTTCTTCTTCTAATTGAGCAGATTGACTAATTTGACGGCTGTGAAGAGATTTGATGGAGAGATTCGAGTGTATTGATGATGGTTGTGAGGTGTAATCGGGGCTAGAAGACTAGAGATTGGTAGGAAGAATGGAAGAATCGGAGAAAATCGACAGAAAGATTGAAGGGCTCACCGAATAAAGCGTGATTAAGATGGCAGATTGGATGATGGAGTCTGGAAAATCGGAGAAAAAATTGATTGAGAGCAGCGATTTCTAAGATGGAAGTTTGGGGAATGGGGAAAGTGCTGGCTGCATTCGAAGGTCGAAGAAATCCATTATCCATCCCCTCTCTCGTGGATGTTGAAACGGCGGCGTATGCTATTTCGGACGGGTCGGGGCGGATAGTGTGATATCCAACCCCGACCCATCCCCGCTTCCTTGCATATTCCGGGTTTCCCCTTCCCCGACCGTTATCCTCCAATTGCGGGTTTGATCGCGGGTTTGCTCCGGGCGGGTGCGGGCGATGCCCGCTTTATTTGTGCCCACTGCCATCCCTATGCCTCAGTAGTAGACATTGTCACAGCCGACTGCAGAGTTGCCTTCCAGCTCACTACAGAACTCCCAAGAGTGAATACATAACCGGTCATCGATCTTCTCGTGTCAACATCTCCAGCGTAGTCAGAGTCAGAATACCCAGACACCAAGCACTCTATATCACTTCCGAAGCTAATCCCCACATCAGGTGTACCCTTAAGGTACTGGAAGATCCTCTTCACAGCCTGCCAATGCTCCTTCCCAGGTTGTATCATGAACCTGCTGACAGCACTAACAGCATGTGCAAGATCAGGTCTAGTGCATACCATAGCGTACATCAAGCTACCTACTGCACTAGCATATGGGACTCTCGACATGTACTCCTTCTCAGCCTCTGACTGTGGTGCATAAGCTGAGGATAGATGAACATTTGAAGCACTAGGAGTATTTAAGGGCTTTGCTGAAGACATGCCAAACCTTGACAGTATCTTCTGGATGTAGCTCTTCTGTGACAAGAAAAGCTTCTTCTTCGACCTGTCCCTGTAAATCTCCATACCCAAGATCTTCTGAGCAGCTCCCAAATCCTTCATCTCAAACTCAGCACTGAGAAGCCCCTTTAACTTCTGGATATCAGACTTTGACCTCGCAGCTATGAGAATATCATCCACATACAGAACCAGATATATCATCGAACCATCCTCTGCCTTGCTGTGATATACACAACAATCATATGGACTTCTGTTGTAGCCCAGCTCAAGCATGTACTGTCAAATCTCTTGTACCACTGCCTCGGAGATTGCTTAAGTCCATAGAAGGACTTCTTCAGCTTACAAACATAGTCTTCTTTTCCCGGAACCTCGAATCCTTCTAGCTGAGTCATGTAAATTTCTTCCTCCAACTCTCCATGCAGGAAAGCTGTCTTCACGTCTAGCTGCTCAAGCTCCAAGTCATAATGTGCCACTATTGCTAGTAGCACTCTGATCGAATTATGTCTGACCACTGGTGAGAAAATCTCATTGTAGTCAACTCCTTCCCTCTGCGAGAAGCCTCGTGCAACCACCCGAGCTTTAAATTTCATGCCCTCTTTGGAAGTGATTCCTTCCTTCTTCTTGTAGATCCACTTGTTTGTCACAATCTTCCTTCCCTGTGGTCGTTTGACTAGCTCCCAAGTCTGATTCCTGTCATGGGATTCCATCTCATCTCCCATTGCGGCAAGCCACTGATCACCTTCACCACCCGAAACTGCTTCTTTATAGGACTGTGGCTCTCCTGCATCCACTTCCTCAGCAACCTGGAATGAATACGCCACCATGTCCTCGAAGCCATACCTCTGTGGAGGTACTCCTGCAGTCGCTCTCTTCGGTCTACCGGAAGCAATAGACTGTTGAGCTCGTGCACTGGACTTTGAACTTTCTGGCTCTGCAGAGACATCCTCATCATGTTGATCTTCTCCACCTTGGTGCTCAAACTCACTCTCATTGAGAGTTTGCAGCTCCACCTGCTTATCAACATTCCTTCTACCTTCAACAACAGTAACCTTCAACATGGGGTTAAACATAGACTTCTCATCAAATATCACATTTCTACTAAGTATAACTCGATGCTCAGAAGGTGACCAGACTCGAAATCCCTTAACTCCATCTCCGTAACCCACAAATACACCCTTCTTTGCCCTTGGGTTCAGCTTACCCTCATCCACATGATAATAAACAGGACACCCAAACACTTTCAGTGAAGAGTAATCAGCAGGCTTACCATACCACACCTCATAAGGAGTCTTACACTCGATACCTGTGTGAGGTCCACGGTTGATCAGGAAGCACGCCATGTTCACTGCTTCTGCCCAGAATCTTCTCTCTAGTCCAGCATTAGAGAGCATGCACCGTGCTCTCTCCAACAATGTCTGGTTCATCCTTTCTGCAACGGCATTCTGCTGGGGTGTATCTCTAACAGTCCGATGACGGGCAATCCCTTCATCCTTGCAGAATTCGTTGAACTCAGAACTGCAGAACTCCAGACCATTGTCCGTTCGCAGCTTCTTGATCTTCTTCCCGGTCTGATTCTCCACCAATGTCTTCCACTGCTTGAACTTCGTGAAAGCTTCACTTTTCTGCTTCATTATGAAAATCCAAGTAAATCTCGAATAATCATCAATAATAGACAGAAAATACCTGCTGCCTCCAATGGATTCAACTCGTGAAGGACCCCAACAGTCGGAGTGGAGGTAATCCAGTATCCCCTTCGTCCGGTGGATACCCTTCTTGGGAAACTTGCTGCGATGTAGCTTCCCAAACACACAATGCTCACAGAATTCCAAATTCTGCACCTTGTGCCCGCAAAGAAGATCCCTCTTCGATAGAACTTGCATCCCTCGTTCACTCATATACCCCAGTCTCATGTGCCAGAGAGTGGTCATATCTTCCTGTTGAACCTGAGACGATGCAACTGCAGCAGAACCAGACAACACAGACCCTTGTAATGCATACAAGGTCCCACGCTTCACCCCTTTCAGTACCTTCCTCGAACCCTTGCAGACATACACAACTCCACCTTTTCCTTTGAAGCTGAATCCCTTGTTGTCGAGTAGACTCAAGGAGATCAGGTTCTTTGTCATTCGTGGAACATGCCTGACATCATTCACGGTACAGAACGAACCATCATGTGTCCGAACTTTTATGGACCCGATTCACACAACCTTGCAGACAGCTCCATTAGCCATGACCACGTTGCCACCATCTATCTGCTCATAGGTTGTGAAGCAATCCCTGTTCGGAGACATATGGTATGAGGCTGCAGTATCCAGAAATCACACATCCCCACGATGTGCCTTCTCATCTACAGCCAAGGCGAGATCGTCTTCAGAACTGTTGTCCACTTCTGCCACGGCAACTGAACCTTGTTTCTTCTGTTGCCCTCTTTTCTTGGGACAGTTGTACTTCCAATGCCCCACTTCCTTACAGTTGTGACAAGCATCACCTGGCTGTGGACCGGGACCCTTGGAATTCTTGCTCGAATTCCCTTTACCAGATTTCTTCTTTCCCTTTCCACCTGTAACAGCCAAACCCGATGCCTCACCACCTGTACCAGATCCGGACGCCTTATGCCTGATCTCTCTCGTATGAAGAGCAGACCTGACATCCTCCAACGACACGCTTTCTTTACCAGCAATAAAAGAATCAACGAAATTCTCATATGAACTCGGCAAAGAAACCAGCAGGATTAGGGCAGCATCCTCGTCATCAACTTGAACATCTATATTACGCAGATCCAGCAAAATAGAGTTAAGATGTTCGAGATGTTCCCTCAAAGGCGTACCTTCTTGCATCCTCAAGCTGCACAAACGTTGCTTGAGATGCAGCTTGTTGGTTAGAGACTTAGTCATGTACAGACTCTCTAGTTTCAACCACAAGCCCGCGGCAGTCTTCTCAGCAGCGACTTCAATGATGACGTCATCAGACAACGATAGCATGATGGTCGAGTGGGCCTTCTCCTCCAGGGTATTCCACTCATCGTCATCGACCGCTGCCTTCTTCTGTTTCGCAGACAGCGGCCCCCACAGCCCTTGCTGTTTCAATAAAGCCTGCATCTTGATCTGCCATATAGCGAAGCTGTTCTTCCCCGTGAACTTTTCGATCTTCATGTCCACCGACGTCATTCGTCTGAATCGAAAACCCTAGCCTGATTTCCAACCGCGACTCTGATACCACTTGTTATAAACGCGCTGCTACGGATCGGGAAATCGCCGGAATCGACAACGCAAGAATACGAAAGCGAGAATCGAAAACACGACACACGATTTACGTGGTTCACTAACACGATGTGTGTTAGCTACGCCCACGGGCGAGAGAGAGCCGATTTCACTATATCAAGGAGATTACAGATTACAGAGGAGTATGAGAAGTATTTATAGTACTTCTCCATGTGGGTCTAAACCTAATCCAATCTAGCAAAGGAAACGATCAGCGAGACCCCCGATTACCAGTCGTAGCGGCTGATAGTCCGATTCAAGTCATATCAAAGGTTGTGTTGTGTATAGCGGTAGATTAAATGAATCAGAGCAGTAGATGTATCATTCTCGAAACCGGTTCTCGGATAGCTATTGAGTTGATAATGAAAGAATTAATTAAACATAAGTAATTTTCTGAAAATCAT